GTGTGTGTGTGGATGTGTGTGTGTGTGGATGTGTGTGTGGATGTGTGTGTGTGTGGATGTGTGTGTGGATGTGTGTGTGTGTGGATGTGTGTGTGGATGTGTGTGTGTGTGGATGTGTGTGTGTGTGGATATGTGTGTGTGTGGATATGTGTGTGTGTGGATGTGTGTGTGCGTGGATGTGTGTGTGTGGATGTGTGTGTGCGTGGATGTGTGTGTGGATGTGTGTGTGTGTGGATGTGTGTGTGGATGTGTGTGTGTGTGGATGTGTGTGTGGATGTGTGTGTGTGTGGATGTGTGTGTGGATGTGTGTGTGTGTGGATGTGTGTGTGTGTGGATATGTGTGTGTGTGGATATGTGTGTGTGTGGATGTGTGTGCGTGGATGTGTGTGTGTGGATGTGTGTGTGCGTGGATGTGTGTGTGTGGATGTGTGTGTGTGGATGTGTGTGTGTGTAGATGTGTGTGTGTGGATGTGTGTGTGGATGTGTGTGTGGATGTGTGTGTGGATGTGTGTGTGGATGTGTGTGTGGATGTGTGTCTGTGGATATGTGTGTGTGTGTGGATGTGTGTGTGTGGATGTGTGTGTGTGTGGATGTGTGTGTGTGTGGATGTGTGTGTGTGTGTGGATGTGTGTGTGGTGCCCCACAATCGAGTTATCAGCCGGGTGTGAGACAGAGACAAGCGGCTGTAATGACCGCTGACACCCGGGGTGTCGGGTCTGCCCGTCCCTAAACTCCCGGTGACCAATCTGTGACGTAGTTCGTCCCAAGCCTGGTAAATTCACGTGCGAGGTGTCAGGGGGTGGGGGTGGGCCCGGGGTGGGGGTGGGCCCGGGGTGGGGTGGACCCATTTGGAAAAGACTGGAGTTATCAATATTTGAGTTGTCCTAATGGTGAGGCGGGGCTAGATTGGTTAATTGGTTGGTGACAAAAGCTTGTAGCTGATACATACTGGCTATATACACTGTTGGGTTGACACTCTGATACAGACTGGCTATATACACTGTTGGGTTGACACTCTGATATAGACTGGCTATATACACTGTTGGGTTGACAAGCTGATACAGACTGGCTATATACACTGTTGGGTTGACAAGCTGATACAGACTGGCTATATACACTGTTGGGTTGACACTCTGATATAGACTGGCTATATACATTGTTGGGTTGACTCTATGATACAGACTGGCTATATACACTGTTGGGTTGACACTCTGATATAGACTGGCTATATACACTGTTGGGTTGACAAGCTGATACAGACTGGCTATATACACTGTTGGGTTGACAAGCTGATACAGACTGGCTATATACACTGTTGGGTTGACACTCTGATATAGACTGGCTATATACACTGTTGGGTTGACAAGCTGATACAGACTGGCTATATACACTGTTGGGTTGACAAGCTGATACAAACTGGCTATATACATGGTTGGGTTGACAAGCTGATACAGACTGGCTATATACACTGTTGGGTTGACAAGCTGATACAAACTGGCTATATACATTGTTGGGTTGACAAGCTGATACAGACTGGCTATATACACTGTTGGGTTGACAAGCTGATACAGGCTGGCTATATACACTGTTGGGTTGACAAGCTGATACAGACTGGCTATATACACTGTTGGGTTGACAAGCTGATACAGGCTGGCTATATACATTGTTGGGTTGACAAGCTGATACAGGCTGGCTATATACATTGTTGGGTTGACAAGCTGATACAGGCTGGCTATATACATTGTTGGGTTGACAAGCTGATACAGGCTGGCTATATACACTGTTGGGTTGACACTCTGATACAGACTAGCTATATACGCTGATGACCCTCTCCCCCTACAGGTGGGGGGGGGGGAGGGCTAGGAAATGTGTATGTGTTGGGGAGATAGGGTTATAATGTATGTTGGGGGTGAGGGGGGGGGGGGGAAGAGAAAATGTGTGTTGGGGAGATAGGGTTATAATGTATGTTGGGGGTGAGGGGGGGGGGGAAGAGAAAATGTGTGAGTTGAAACAACTCTATCCCGGCCTTGAACTTAAGCCCTGCAGTAAGCTGAAGAGTCGTTCTATGGCCGTCCAAAAATGACCGGCCGTGGTGGAATTGTGCATTGATGACGTGTCATTACCGACACGCATGCGCCGAGTGACGTCAGATCTAAACACCGGTTTGTAGACATCACGTGATGGAGGGGCCTTTTGTAGGGGCCATTTTGTTGGTTAACATTAACTCCGCTTTAACTCAGGATAAGCTCAGCTTTAACTCAGGATAAGCTCAGCTTTAACTCAGGATAAGCTCAGCTTTAACTCATGATAATATGTATTGATTACGTTTACTTGTTATTACAACTTTTTTAATGCGTCTTTTTTGTAGTACTTGAAATTTTTTAATACAATTGAGTTGCATAACTAAAAACTATTGCGCACCTAATGAACGTGATGACGTGTGTCTAATAGTGCGGAATAGTTTGATGAGACAGCCTACTAATTTGGGCACAATTTTAATTAATTCATAAAAAATTAATTGGTCATCGGATTAAGTCAAATTTAATGTCATATTACAATGTCTTCAAGTCTTGACCCACGTGCCAACTTTGAAACGAATCTGTCAGTTAGAAGTGTCCGAAATAACGCTCGCCCGTTTTCTATGACGACAAATAGACTGACGACAGTCTGACAACAGACTGACGACAGACTGACAACAGACAGAGGAAACAAGGTAAATAAAAGCTTGTAAAGCTGAGAGCAGAATAGAATTGCTTCAGTCAAAAGATGAAGGCAAACAATGTGTACAATAGTGCGGAAACCTAAAATGATCTTTAAATATTAACATGTAATTAACATGTAATTAAGTTAATACATATATATCTGACATCCCGGCCAGGCACTGCACTGGAAAAAAACCTACATGTAAATAACCGTGACCTTACCCAGGAAATGTATTTCTTGTCCAATTAAATGCCAATGTGGAATTGTGGATAACATATAACCTTAAATCTAACTCTAATTCTTAACTTAACCCTAACCATAACCAACTAAAACCAAATCACAAAAACAAATGCAAACCTAACACAAACACAAACGCAAACACCAACACAAACACATATAAAACACACAAACACAAAAGCAAACGCAAACCTACATGCAAACAATAACGCTGAAAATAATGCAAAATTAAACGCTTAGTATTCACAGTATAGCCCGGGGCGCCAAATCGCTTCATTCCGGGGCGCCGGTGGATTCGCCCGGTTTAAACTAGTAGCGAATATAGAAGCCCTTTTCATCCATAGACTATAGCAGCCCTACTCATCCATAGACTATAGTAGCCCTACTCATCCATAGACTATAGTAGCCCTACTCATCCATAGACTATAGTAGCCCTACTCATCCATAGACTATAGTAGCCCTACTCATCCATAGACTATAGTAGCCCTACTCATCCATAGACTATAGTAGCCCTACTCATCCATAGACTATAGTAGCCCTACTCATCCATAGACTATAGTAGCCCTACTCATCCATAGACTATAGTAGCCCTACTCATCCATAGACTATAGTAGCCCTACTCATCCATAGACTATAGTAGCCCTACTCATCCATAGACTATAGTAGCCCTACTCATCCATAGACTATAGTAGCCCTACTCATCCATAGACTATAGTAGCCCTACTCATCCATAGACTATAGTAGCCCTACTCATCCATAGACTATAGTAGCCCTACTCATCCATAGACTATAGTAGCCCTACTCATCCATAGACTATAGTAGCCCTACTCATCCATAGACTATAGTAGCCCTACTCATCCATAGACTATAGTAGCCCTACTCATCCATAGACTATAGTAGCCCTACTCATCCATAGACTATAGTAGCCCTACTCATCCATAGACTATAGTAGCCCTACTCATCCATAGACTATAGTAGCCCTACTCATCCATAGTTTATGGTGCTGCTTAAACGAACCTAAGCGCCTTAGCTCTCATGGGAAGTCCCAGGGCGTCAAATAGCACCCTATCGGGGCGTCAAATAGCACCCTATCGGGGCGTCAAATAGCACCCTATCGACTATAATACCCCATCTTATCCGCAAATGAAAAGATAAAAGTAAACATAGAGGACATTTATGACATTTAGGACATTTATGACATTTAGGACATTTAGGACATTTAGGACATTTAGGACATTTAGGACATTTAGGACATTTAGGACATTTAGGACATTTAGGACATTTAGGACATTTAGGACATTTAGGACATTTAGGACATTTAGGAACAATTAAAAAGTATTACAAAATTGCGATCAAGTCGGGTTTCTTACTATATACAAGTCTCCCACAATTATACATACACATAAAGCCACATAGCCCATATATATATATATCTCTCTCTCACTCTCTCTCTCTCTCTCTCTATATATATATATATATATATATATATAGGCATATATATATATATATATATATATATATATATATATATATATATATATATATATATATATATATATATATATAGTTCACCCAGGGTAGCAGAGGTCACGTTAAGTTAGTTATAAGAAGATTGAGTGGATTAAGTTAGTTATAAGAAGATTAAGTGGATTAAGCTAGTAATAAGAAGTTTAAGTGGATTAAGATAGTTAAAAGAAGATAAAGTGGATTAAGTTAGTTATAAGAAGATTAAGTGGATTAAGCAAGTAATAAGAAGATTAAGTGAATTAAGCTAGTAATGAGAAGATTAAGTGGATTAAGTTACTTATAAGAAGATTAAGTGGATTAAGTTAGTTATAAGAAGATTAAGTGGATTAAGCTAGTTCTAAGAAGATTAAGTGGATTAAGCTAGTAATAAGAAGATTAAGTGGATTAAGTTAGTTATAAGAAGATTAAGTGGATTAAGCAAGTAATAAGAAGATTAAGTGAATTAAGCTAGTAATGAGAAGATTAAGTGGATTAAGCTAGTTCTAAGAAGATTAAGTGGATTAAGCTAGTTCTAAGAAGATGAACCAACTGACCTCATCGTCTACAGCTGTGTTGACACTATCCATGCTCTGAGACAGTGAGGCCGATCCATCTTTCAGACCTGGTGCAGGTGACGTAGAGTTGGCCTGGTTGATAGGCGTGGCCATCTCTGTTATAAGCATATGGGCGTGTCCGATGTGACCCGGGAGGGAAATCAAGAGGGTCAGGGGTCAGGGTCAAGGGTCAGGGGTCGATCTGGTAAGATACTAACGTGCACTGTCTACAAGCTCTTCATTGTACGTCACAAACTACGCACCAAGAGCGTTGGGAAAGTCCCTGATCTATAAATAAACAAGGCTATAAATAAACACAGCTATCAACATATATCCATAAACAAAGCTATCCAGAGATATCCATAAACAAAGCTATATATAGAGATCTGGACAAGCCTTAAGCTAAACACGAACACGTTGAGAAAATCTTAACCTTAACTCAAACCCTAACTCAAACTCTAACTCAAAACCTAACTCAAACCCTAACTAAAACGCTACATTAAAAACTTCGGATACAATAGCTGATAGAACTATCCTGACACTAGCTGGTAGACTAGCTTTAGACTAGCTGATAAAACTATCCTGATACTAGCTGATAGAACTATCCTGACACTAGCTGATAAAACTATCCTGACACTAGCTGATAGAACAATCCTGACACTAGCTGATAGAACTATCCAGTCGCCACAAGGACGCTAAAACTCAAGTGGTTCAAGCTTGCCAACTCACGTCCTTTTTACTTCCGGTAGGGGGCGTGTCCCTGTGGAGTGAGAAACAAACAACTAATTATGATCAAGTATGAAGATAATTATAATCAGATGAGGGATGTAAGAGGGGGGGGGGGGAGAGGGAGTAATACAAGCTTCATCACGTGATCTACTCAGTATCTCATCGCTGATTGGTTAATACTAAGTGAAGCTAAAAATAACTTTCAAGCGCAAATCTTGTAAATAATTAGTTGGTTGTACACTACTTTGACTATTCGTGAATATGTGTGTTTAAATATGTATGTCTGTATGGGGAATGTATATTTGTATGTGATTATGTATGTCTGTATGTAAAAATGTATGCGTCTAAGTCTCTAAGTGAATACGTCTATATATATATATATGTATATATATATATATATATATATATATATATATATATATATATATATATATATATATATATATATAATCTATTTCCTGAGTCATCTAATCTATTTCATTGCAATACATAACCATTCTGAGACAGCAGACCAAACTCATGTCGGGCCTGATATACCAATATAATCGTGTCTTATAAATTTTTGTTACCGAAAATTGTGAAAAATATATATTAAAATATTACATTTACAAGGCATGCTTGTCAAATACGTAAGCTTGATATGTGTAATGGTTTCTCCCGTAATGTTTATTTTTATGTTTTTAATGGCTTTTTAATTTATATAGCACAAAACTGTTTAAATGAGCTGTATGGACATCCTTAAAGAAGGGCAGTAGGTCATGGAAGTCATGCAAGTCAAGGTTTGACTACCATTCAAACTATAGCTCTTGTAGATTTTATAATATTTTTCTATGCAACAGTGTGTGTTAGTAACTGTAGAACAATCACTGCAATAGTAGACCTGGTTTTTATTTTACATTTTTTTTTAAAACCGCTATCAAGATGCGTGAAACACATAATTTATATATAAAAAAATGTTTTTTTCTTGGTCGGAACTGAGCCCCTAAATACCCTACCCCCCTGCATTGCAGGGTCACACTGGCCAACACACTGGCCAACACACTGGCCAACACACTGGCCAACACACTGGCCAACACACTGGTCTATACACTGGCCAACACACTGGCCAACACACTGGCCTACACACTGGCCAACACACTGGCCAACACACTGGCCAACACACTGGCCAACACACTGGCCAACACACTGGCCAACACACTGGCCAACACACTGGCCAACACGCTGGCCAACACACTGGCCAACACACTGGCCAACACACTGGCCAACACACTGGTCTACACACTGGTCTACACACTGGTCTACACACTGGCCTACACACTGGCCAACACACTGGCCAACACACTGGCCAACACACTGGCCAACACACTGGCCAACACGTGGTAGTTCCGCCCGCCCTTGATATATATATATATATATATATATATATATATATATATATATATATATATATATATATATATATATATATATATACACTTGCCGTCCCGGCCAGGCCCTGCACTGGCCTCTGCGAAAAACCTATCTGTATAGAACCAAGACTTGCGTGTTTAAGAAATATATTAGTTTTCGAATTAAACCTAACCACAAGCAATCAAAACCAAAACATAAACGCAAACACAAACATAAACGCAAACACAAAAAGAAACACAAACACGCACGTCAATACCGGGACATTTAGCCAGCACGCACGTCAATACCGGGACATTTAGCTAGCACGCACGTCAATACCGGGACATTTAGCTAGCACGCACGTCAATACCGGGACATTTAGCCAACACGCACGTCAATACCGGGACATTTAGCTAGCACGCACGTCAATACCGGGACATTTAGCCAGCTCGCAAGTCAATACCGGGACATTTAGCTAGCACGCACGTCAATACCGGGACATTTAGCTAGCACGCACGTCAATACCGGGACATTTAGCCAGCACGCACGTCAATACCGGGACATTTAGCCAGCTCGCACGTCAATACCGGGACATTTAGCTAGCACGCACGTCAATACCGGGACATTTAGCCAGCACGCACGTCAATACCGGGACATTTAGCCAGCTCGCACGTCAATACCGGGACATTTAGCTAGCACGCACGTCAATACCGGGACATTTAGCTAGCACGCACGTCAATACCGGGACATTTAGCCAGCACGCACGTCAATACCGGGACATTTAGCTAGCACGCACGTCAATACCGGGACATTTAGCCAGCTCGCACGTCAATACCGGGACATTTAGCCAGCTCGCACGTCAATACCGGGACATTTAGCCAGCTCGCACGTCAATACCGGGACATTTAGCTAGCACGCACGTCAATACCGGGACATTTAGCTAGCACGCACGTCAATACCGGGACATTTAGCCAGCTCGCACGTCAATACCGGGACATTTAGCTAGCACGCACGTCAATACCGGGACATTTAGCCAGCTCGCACGTCAATACCGGGACATTTAGCTAGCACGCACGTCAATACCGGGACATTTAGCCAGCTCGCACGTCAATACCGGGACATTTAGCTAGCACGCACGTCAATACCGGGACATTTAGCTAGCACGCACGTCAATACCGGGACATTTAGCCAGCACGCACGTCAATACCGGGACATTTAGCCAGCTCGCACGTCAATACCGGGACATTTAGCTAGCACGCACGTCAATACCGGGACATTTAGCTAGCACGCACGTCAATACCGGGACATTTAGCTAGCACGCACGTCAATACCGGGACATTTAGCCAGCTCGCACGTCAATACCGGGACATTTAGCTAGCACGCACGTCAATACCGGGACATTTAGCCAGCACGCACGTCAATACCGGGACATTTAGCCAGCTCGCACGTCAATACCGGGACATTTAGCTAGCACGCACGTCAATACCGGGACATTTAGCTAGCACGCACGTCACTACTCTCTATTATATACATCAGGAAAAAATCAATGAGGCTATTTCCTCGTTGAATACTTGAACATTCATCAAAACAAAAAAAAAAAAAAAAACTCCGGAAAAAACTGATTTCATTGGAGGCCAGGTAAACTTCATTCAGTTTTTCAAAAGTTTCCTGGCCACGGACTAATCCTAAACTTAATCAATGTCTTTGTGTCCTGAACATCGGCATATGTCATAAATGTCATTTCATTCCGACCCGATTGACATTTATCTTAAAATACATTTTGTACTGGCTGGCTCAAAACAAAGTATCGCTCAGAGGTATTGCCCAAAAGTATCGTCCCAAAGTATCGTCAAAAGAATCGTCCCAAAGTAACTTTTTAAATCCCTTTTTAAGTCCCCACACACCACCTTACATTACCCACACACCACCTTACATTACCCACACACCACCTTACATTACCCACACACCACCTTACATTACCCACACACCACCTTACATTACCCACACACCACCTTACATTACCCACACACCACCTTACATTACCCACACACCACCTTACATTACCCACACACCACCTTACATTACCCACACACCACCTTACATTACCCACACACCACCTTACATTACCCACACACCACCTTACATTACCCACACACCACCTTACATTACCCACACACCACCTTACATTACCCACACACCACCTTACATTACCCACACACCACCTTACATTACCCACACACCACCTTACATTACCCACACACCACCTTACATTACCCACACACCACCTTACATTACCCACACACCACCTTACATTACCCACACACCACCTTACATTACCCACACACCACCTTACATTACCCACACACCACCTTACATTACCCACACACCACCTTACATTACCCACACACCACCTTACATTACCCACACACCACCTTACATTACCCACACACCACCTTACATTACCCACACACCACCTTACATTACCCACACACCACCTTACATTACCCACACACCACCTTACATTACCCACACACCACCTTACATTACCCACACACCACCTTACATTACCCACACACCACCTTACATTACCCACACACCACCTTACATTACCCACACACCACCTTACATTACCCACACACCACCTTACATTACCCACACACCACCTTACATTACCCACACACCACCTTACATTACCCACACACCACCTTACATTACCCACACACCACCTTACATTACCCACACACCACCTTACATTACCCACACACCACCTTACATTACCCACACACCACCTTACATTACCCACACACCACCTTACATTACCCACACACCACCTTACATTACCCACACACCACCTTACATTACCCACACACCACCTTACATTACCCACACACCACCTTACATTACCCACACACCACCTTACATTACCCACACACCACCTTACATTACCCACACACCACCTTACATTACCCACACACCACCTTACATTACCCACACACCACCTTACATTACCCACACACCACCTTACATTACCCACACACCACCTTACATTACCCACACACCACCTTACATTACCCACACACCACCTTACATTACCCACACACCACCTTACATTACCCACACACCATCTTACATTACCCACACACCACCTTACATTACCCACACACCACCTTACATTACCCACACACCACCTTACATTACCCACACACCACCTTACATTACCCACACACCACCTTACATTACCCACACACCACCTTACATTACCCACACACCACCTTACATTACCCACACACCACCTTACATTACCCACACACCACCTTACATTACCCACACACCATCCTACATTACCCACACACCACCTTACATTACCCACACACCACCTTACATTACCCACACACCACCTTACATTACCCACACACCACCTTACATTACCCACACACCACCTTACATTACCCACACACCACCTTACATTACCCACACACCACCTTACATTACCCACACACCACCTTACATTACCCACACACCACCTTACATTACCCACACACCACCTTACATTACTTACACACCACCTTACATTACCCACACACCACCTTACATTACCCACACACCACCTTACATTACCCACACACCATCCTACATTACCCA